AGGTCGGTGATGTCGCTCTGCCCACGTTGGGCGAGGTCGACCTCTTCAGATCATCCGTCTGGTTGGGTGATTTGCGTCCAATGTCGGTGACTGTCGTAATCGTAACCGACTCCTGAGCTTTCTGTGAGCTCAGTTGAGTTCCTTCAGTTGGGTCCGATGAGGTCGGTACACCATGTGGGTGCTCCGACTCGGCATGAGACAATGTCGTCTCAGCCTGCAGCTTCTCCGATTCCCCCCCGGTCGGGTGGGACGGGGCTGCTGAGTCAGCTTGGGGCTCGAGGAACGTCTTGTCGTGAGCGTCCTCGAAGCTGTCATCGGAGGTCGGGTTGGAATCGGCGAGGAGGATCCGCTCGTTACGCTTCTCCCGTGCCTGGGCTGACTTCACCGAGTCCGTTGATGACGGCTGACTTCCATCCCGACCAGCATGCCGCAGTGAGTACGGTGCGTTTGAGGTCAAGCGCCGGGAGTAATCGGTGTTGAAATCCCGGGCGTATTCATTCTTCTTCGGGTACGACATTGTTGTCGGGTAAGGTCGATTAAAGTGGAACCGAACAAGATTTGCTGCTTGTATGCAGTGAATTGAACATTCCCTTCTGTGGGGATGTTCAATAGAATCAGGAACGTCTTCTGGTTCAGGAACTTCCGAGGGTCAGGATGGTCCGACTTGATGTTGTTGTTGTTGTTGACTCGTCTGTGTGTGACTCAGTACACAAGGTTACTATACAGTACTATGGTACAGTACAGTATGATATAGTAATACGGTAACGTACGTCCTATACTACTGCGCTGACCAGTATGACGTCACAGGGTTAAGTGGTCTTGCACTTCGCTGCTTACGTCACGAATAGCGAGCCGCGTGCAAAATTCAAGAAATGATGACTCACGCCTATGTTAAGCGTATGGGAAGTTTCCCCTGCACGCTGATTGGCTAACGCTAAAGTACTGAAATCGAACGTTCTGACGTCACAAGGAAGTTCGAGAATTTTCTCGCTTATTTTTCGCAGAAAAACAAATTATTTTTAGGTCGGCCAAAAATGTTATTTGGTCGAATTTTTAATTTTTGATCCGTCAGAAATAAGTTTTAAAATATTAGGAATTTTTCTGACGGTGAAAAGTCCGTCAAAAGTGAAAAGTAAGACAATGACCGACCTCTGGTCGGTTAGCCAGAGTGGTCCGTTAGGTCGGTAAAAGTAATTTCAAGGTCGGTTTCTCCGACAAAAATGAACTTTTAACCGTAGAAAATTTAAATTTCTTTGTTAGAAATTAAATTTAGCCGTTAGAATCTAGAAATTCTATCTAGAATCGACCTATATCGACCTGTAACCAGGACTTTACCGGTGTGTTACTGGTGTCCGTGGAGGTCGGTGATCCGCCGTTGGGAGGTCGAAATCCGTTAAAGTTGCGGGTCGCCGTTCAAGGCGAAGGTCCCCGTTTGCAGAAACGATCCGTTTGCGCGCTGCAGGCTGTCGTCTGAGCCTGATCCTTCAGTGGGAAGTGGGGATTTTCCCATTCGTCCGTCTGGGGCAGCCAGCCGAGTCGCTCTTCTTGTGTGGAAGAGACGAGAGATAGGGCAATGCGAGAGTGGAAGGGATCGCTTTTGCGATCAACCTGTTGCTACCACAATCGCGAGACAGTGAGGCTAGGTGAAAGCAGAGGCTGCGTTCGCAGTCGATCTGACTTTCAACCGTGGGTTCCTCGAGTTCTCCGCCAAATTATGCCTTTACCGTCTCCTCAAAGGATCCGGTGGACAGAAAACCAGACGATCTGCTTACCATATAACAGGCAAGCGCAGGGAGCTCACAGTGATCTTTATTGACAAATAAAGGGAGCAAATACCGCGTGATTGCGGGAGAGAAAAGAACAAAGACGCCAATGTCTGGCATGAAATCAACAAGCCATGTTGCTGCGAGCGAGTTCTAGCGCGTAATGAAATGTAGAGAGAGAAAGAGCGCTGGCGGCAACGTCGTGCGTCCAGACATGTCGAATGTGCTGCGCAGACTGGGCTCGTATCCAACGCGAGCGTATAGGCGCTGAGTCATACTGCGAGTGAGAGGAACGAGAGAGCAAGTATGCTCAGTGAGTGCGCCCGCGGTAGATCCGCTAGGCGGAGAGTGCAGTGCAGCCACTCACGTACGTACGAGAGAGGGCGAATCAGCATGTGTGCGGTGATACGCATACGCAAAGTGGCGTATCTATCACGCAGGCTGTCGTGCCTCTAACATAGGTTTCTTCTTTGCGGTAACTAACAGAAAAACTGATAATGTGAACTGTAGAAAATTAAGAATGCTAACCGCATGTAAATCTTACACGTTGCGGATTCAATGGACATATACCAATAATTCCGGGTCCGGTAAATGTTGAAACATGTGCAATATCCTTGTCTATGTCAGTGGTACTGTTTTGTGAACAATAATGTGCACTGCGCTCTAGCTGGCATAACAAGGTTTTATTTATTACTTTCAACTTTTCAAATATATATGATGCTCCAGTGCAACCGAGTGATGACAATAGATTACGCGGCAGACCGTTTCACTGTTTTTTGCTGTTATTGTTCGGCAAAAAGATAACGAATGTGTTTTCAGTTCTCTCCTGATCGTTATCAAAGCCATGGTGAGGTACGGTTTGGTTTTGACGGTTATACACCTTGCTGTCTCCCAACTAACTCCCACACTCCGTTCCAGTAGGCGAATAAATAATGAAATAACTCGTTAGGATTCAGGTCTGAATTATTGCGGCGTTTAGCGGATGGCCCTTCTTCCTACACGTTATAAATAAAGCTAACATCTTAATGCATAATGCAAACTGCAAAGTAATCCCAAGTGCATATGCGTGATTTGTCCGTGTACAAATTATGCATACATACTGTGTACATCTATTCAGGTAAACGCCTAAATAGCATGTGAGGTTCTCCTGTTAAAATGCAGTACCAGTACTGTATTCTTAGCCCAATATTGTTCCCACAGCAAGTGGGTTAATTGTCAAATTGCCTGAAGGCGAATGCCTAAAAATGGGAAGGGGAAGGAGAAGGAAAAGGCGTAAAACTTAAAAGGAGAAGGCGAAGGAGAAGGTTACTGGCTAGAAGGCGGAGGCAAAGGAGAAGGCGGGAGGAGAAGGCTACTCATATATAGCCATCTGTACAAGCTTTTATGAACATATGATTTTACCTCCAGGTTTCAGGCATGCGATGATCATGAGAATGTAAAAATTTGGTTCTCTCAGTACACTGCAGCAAAGGACAAAACCATATACTCGTTAATATATTTGACCCTTGGGAAAATATCAAAGAGCAGAATTCTTATCTTGTGATCATTCCCGCGGGTGGGACAATTGCAACGACTTCTCCCAGTTCCATAATACATTGATACTTACCAGGATTGCCAAACACGCCAACGTGTTTACAATATACAGGGGTGCCGCGCCAAGTTCGGACAGTTTTTCTAAAAATTTCCCATAAATCATCCACCACCAAACAAAAACTTATCAAATGCTAATATGATCCCTGCGTGTGTCCAACATCTTTTGCACTCCAGGTTTCCCTACTGAGAACGTGCTTTGGATTATAGTAGAAGAAAAACTAGAACAGACCAAATGAAAAAAGTGGTTCGAGCCATCGAACTTGTTTGCTTTTGCCCCTTTAAAAATTTGCTAACAATTCTGTCGATGTTGTAGTCTAAAAGCAATAGCTCTAAACTGTTTGTCATTAAGTCCTTCTGCAAATCAGTCTATCTCCCAGACGATTTCAATCAGGCGTTCGTGACCTTTGCAGTCTGACTGCAGACACCCGAAAACTGGAGGGTGACCTCCTCTGCCTTGCTCGCCGTACAGTCGCAGGGTGCCTTATGTGAATGTTTTTGGAAAAATCTTGTTCTAGAAACCCTGAACGTCAATTTAAGTTCTTTTATCCTCACAACAGGCCCGGGATATTCCGTTCCCAGTAGTTCAAACAGCAGCTACAACTTTTTTTATCTCCAGCTTTGACGTTTTTTTGTTCCACTTGTTCGGCTCAACCACCTCCCCGCTTGCGCAATTGATTTCAGTCAAAACGTCAAATTTGTATGATGTTATCCATGTGTCATGCATGGAAAATATTAATTCGAGGTTTCCACATCATGTGCGCTGGGCAACCCTATTGTTCCTAAGGAGCGTTATAACATACAAGTCTACGGGAAAGACACCTTATTTCGTGGCTACCGCGGGCACGGGTGGAGCACGATTTTTTTCCAACTTGTAACGAACACCTTCTGGTTCCCTTAATAGTTTGCAAAAACACCCACGAAATAATATCTGTCGGTGAATTGTTTAGAGGGACAGATATAAGCGCCCAAAATCCGACAACCACCCCATCCCCTAAATCCCTGCTTGGCTCGCTACTGGCATTTCAGAACGTACTGGTTTTGACAGTTCTAGATTCGTAATAAAAAGTTACACAAACAATGTTAAGAAAGTAAAAGCAAAACTATCAATACAACTATTTTAAAATTCATTTTATACAACTGTCCGAACTTGGCGCGGCACCCCTGTACAATACAACCCTAGCTGACATTTACACCCGCACAGCGGGGCGTGTTCCCAGACATACTGACGAGGCTTTATCATTTGTCTTTCCAGTCTGGTAACTTCGTTGTTTTTTTACTTTTTCCTTGTTTTCATGAGCAGCCCTCTAGTGTTTTTAATGGTTTTTAAAATATTGATAAATTAGCCCGGCTACAGGCTAAACAATCGATGCAATAACAAGTTACAGATATTGCATTATACCAGTCAGCCATTCATCAAAACGGAACAAAAACAGAAAGGCGAATCCAGTACCGTCCATTACTTTCTGCCGCGAAAAGCCTGCTTAATAGGGCGTATTTTCGCTTCCACCTGATCCAACACGCTGTAGCCCGCTTGAGCCTCATTGGAGGCCTTTCCAAACACCTTAGCCAAAATGCCCTTGGCTTCCTCACAGTATTCGATGGCGTCATGACACACTTGTGTGGCCAAAGTTTCCAGCTCTTTTTTTGCCGGTTTCGACAGCTAATTTATCCCGTTCAGCACTCGCTGGTGCAGTGCCGTAACGGCCGACATTCCCTCTGACATCAGTAAACGAGCACGAAACGACGAATACTTTGGATGGATTTTTCTAACGGCAATTAATAACAGAGTTTTATTACGCTCACTACTTCACAGTTGAAAAAATATTTAAAAAACAATCAAAATATGTACCTATCCTTTCGCAGGTTAAAAGGTAAAGTTATTGATACCCTCTTAATCAGATTCGTTCTGTACGAGTACTTCGAAAGATCTTATACTTAAACAGGCTGCCAATACAACGGTCACATATCTGGGCTTCCGGCTAGTCAAGTATAAGGAAGCTACTGTACAAGGTTTAACTTCAGAAAATTCAAATGAATTCATTTGCTAAAAATCCAATGACTAGAACAAGCAGAATAATTTTTATAGCTCTATAGAAGAACTAACAGTTCCCAGAACAGAAGCCTTAACCTTATATCGCTGCAACGCGAACTGTTATATGTAAATTCCAGATCAAAAGCCGCAAACTTACCGCACAATGCCAATCAGCTCCTGTGTCGCCTGCCAGCCTTCTTCGAAACGGTTTTCATCATAGTATTTCCTTGGTAACTGCAAGCCGCAGACATAACGGAAATGCGCATCCGGCTGCAGGATGCCGGTAGCATCCAGTTTTTCGCAGAAATCCGTAAATTTCTTCCCGTGGAAGGCCATCGTGTAGCGCTCCCTCATGACGGTGAAATCCTCGACTAACCGGCGGAACTTCATCAGCCGGTCACTGTTCATGGCGCCACATTCCGAACAGGGTCGTTGTGCCCGACGGTCGCTGGGAATGCGATTCGAGCAGCCTACCGTTACGCAGCGTAACGGATTGATCTCTCCATCCTGAGAAAAACCGCACTCACGGTCAGTTAAAAAAGCCCATTTCTCAAAGTGGCTATTTAAGTATGCTCGGCAAAAAAATAGGAATATTTTGTACCGCCTCTACGTACATATTCTGCCGTGCATCGACGACAGGTGCACGGATATCCATAACGCTCCTCAAAGCGAACGCGACGTGCGTCTCGTGTCAGACAGAATGGTTCCCGTGTGTAGCTGCGAACATAAAAAATTCAAGAATGTTATTAAGTCTGTTAAATTTGTTAGCCGACTATTGTCCTTTCAGACTGGACGCAGTATGAGCAAGCTAGGTCGCACGAGTAGCCCTTGTACCCATTTTTACAATTCGTTTTCCGCTTCAGGTTCTATCACACTTCGGTCGGGGGTTGCCGTTCGGACACTTGAGCACAGAAGCGCCCATCAAGAATTCATATCTCTTGCCAAAGTCTTCGGCATGAATTGCACTAGATTAAATTTATTTTACCCGAATCGGCTATGCAGATCTCGGAATATTTGTGTTCATACAGATAATGCGAAACGAAGGATGGAGAGAATTTACCCTGGAGGGTTGCCGCTGCTTATGCTGTTAGCCTGTTACATCTCGAAGACTGCAGAACTGTCTTACACGGTTTTCAGTACTGTATGCGGCTTACGTTTTCAGTTCCGGTATATTCTGGAATGTCTTCTACGGCATGCATGACTAGCCGACGTCCGCGGTAGTGCAGCACCACGTTGATGTCCCAGCACACTGGAATCATCCGTCGCGGTGGTGTTCGCGGATACACGGCTAAGCCGATCGGCGCGGTTTGCGAATCGTATATGGTCAGAATGTTGTAACGGGCAATTTCGTAGAAGGGCAGAAATTCCGATGCTGGTACGCCGGCCACCAGAGAATATTTGGACTTCACAGGGCGCAACCTATAATTCGATCATTACTGAACACTGGTTGGTCGTACTGCATATACTAGACCATGTGCGTTGGTTACTTGTATGGCCGACAAGTAAGGATCCATCTATACAAGTTACGTCATGACCGAACCCACACCGCGGCGATTCGCTGCCGCGCAAATTAGATGTATGCGTGTGTGAAGGCGGTGCCAAAAATCCATCCACGTAAGGCCCTTACGTGTATGCCTGTAACTCCACCTCTTTGCATGCATACATACAAGTAGCCGATCCAGCTGCCAGTCAACCTCGAAATTTCAAACGCTCGTTTTTCGTTTGCTTCTCAACGGATCTTCCCAGTCGACATATCAGAAGATGGAAAATTCAATTTAAAACTTTTTTTGGTATTTTGCAAGTGGATATTTATGGCGAATCAAGAAAGTTATGACTGTTTTGGTTTCTCGTAGACTTAACATAGGATGCAAGCCACCGCCTCCTTTCACGGGCCTATGCTAAGTCTACGAGAAACCAAAACGGCCATAACTTTCTTGATTCGCCATAAATATCTACTTGCTAGATACCAAAAAGTTTTAAATTTAATTCTTCATCTTCTGATATGTCGATTGGGAAGATCCGTTGAGAGATGTACGAAAGAGAAGTTTTCAAAATTTTGGAGATCAACGGGCAGTCAGATTGGCCACTTGTATATGTACATGCGAGGCAGCTGGCACCTACACGCGTGCCGCACACCAGCTCGCTCAAACACGTTACGACCCATACATACAAGCCAGTTTTCAGGCGGTTCTAACGTTAGTTGTATGTATGCATGCGTAACTTGTACACATACAAGTTGCAGCGCTAATGCACTACTATACAGATATCTGTACATGCTAGAAAAGCTTACACTGAGTGCATCTCCTGTTTGACTTCCACTGGCGCAGGACTGGCCGGCAGCATCCCGGGATGTCCATCATCGCGTTTGACTGGAAGAAAATTGATATGAATGACTGCCAGCAGATATCCAGAAGTACAATTACCAAGCATACAATCGTTCCATCACTGCCAGGTTAAGATGTGTAAAAACGCGTAATATTCATAAGAAATAATTTTAATGATACAAGACGCTGGTGAGGAGAATGAAACGCAGGATTATCTAAGTACGACAGTAGGTATTAAATATAGCAGGAATTTGCCTGAATTTTAACAATAACGTGCTGATACAAGGACGACATAAAAAATTCTCAGAATTACGGACTTCGCGAAATAAATCGGCTTGCACATGGCACACACTGTCACTAAAAATGACTGAACCACATTTTCTTGTCTATTAATTCTTTTAACTCGACAACCATGGATTTCAAGATTTTCTACCGAAAACTAGTATCATAAAAAACAAGGTTTGTCCGATACGTGAGTTCCAAAACGATACTGCAGATATTAATAACTGCAATAAATAATAATAATCACTACCACAATAATAATCACTACTACTATAATAATAATCAATTCAATAATCACCGTCGCATACATATTCCAAGATGGTCATACCTTAATTTTATTATCCAACTTGGCGACGATATCCGTAGGGACGGCCCAGCTGTCCGCTCCTCCCAGCCACGCAAACATGGACTCCGATCCCTTTCTGATTTTGTTAAGGATGGCGCATTCCAGTTTGTGTTCCACTTTCCAATCCGCAGTCTGTGTAAAGTCAACTCCCACATTACAAGTCTTCTCTGAACAACGCTGTATATGGGGGCACCAGCCACCAAGCTGCTCCCGATACTATTATATAATTACATTTATTTCTAATGCAATGCTGTGCGTTGTACTGTAACCCAGGAGTATACGCGGACAAACTGCGACGAAAATCCCGGTACTGTATACAATTTGCACGCTGAGGATTGTTGGTTATTATCGAAAAGCGAAGCAAGAGCCCGTGGCTGGTCGCCCCTTCGTTGTTACTGTTTTTCGATCTAGTTGCGTAATATTGTAAATTACAGTGTTCTATAAAAAATCTTCGATTAGCGTACCTGACAGACAGAATTACAGTAGCGATGCAGTTGACATCCAGAACAGGTGCGCAGTCCCCGGCTTTCATGGAAGCAATAAGCGCATCGCGTCTTGTATTCGCAGGTATTCATCACCCACACCAGCGGTTCGCAGGACATGATCTTATCGCCAACAGAATAACTGCGGCTGCCACCGCTCGACACTGTCTCCATTTTCAGTTTCGAGATCAGCTCGTTAGAATAACTGAAAGAAATCAGGAAGGTATAAACTAAAAAAGTGAAATGGGCTAGAAAAAGATCAAGAAGTTTGGTAAATGGACGAAGTCACTACATTCAGTTAACTATTAATGGCGTATTTCGTTCTGACTTCTGTGCAGTCAGTAATAAGAAACCTATTGAATGCGGTACTCGTACGTATTGGGTACAGTTTACCAGCGTAAGATCAGAATGCCCTCTCCCTTCTAAGAATTTTCTGAGAAATCTCTTACTTTTGTGTCTCTTATTTTTCTTGTTCTGCCTGAATTGTTGTATAATCTGGCGCTTGATCTATCGATCTGTAGGATGCATTAGCATTAGCCGATGTAACGCTGCTTGAATGCGCCATCAGGTTAGTGATGATTAGGTATGACATCTGATGAATAAATCCGGTTTGCATTATGGGAAAGTCTCAAAGTTTACTAAAAAAATCTTCTTACAAATAAGTAATTTGTACCTTTATTGAGAAAAAATAATTAAAGCATCTCCCTTTATTTGCACAAGTCACAAGCCAGTCACATTGAACAAATTTGTAACAAAATAGAGCTAATTATATTGGATTTTTGGAGCTATTAAAGCGCTGGATTTTTGTTAAGTACTGCATCAATTCACTGAATTCGCATGCTTTATAAAGGGACAAAACACTGAAAATATGTATCTTCTAGCACCCACTGGGTGTAGTAAATTCAGCGATATTTCACGGGCACCGCGACATTTCGCCGCCGACAACTCGTCGCAGGACTTTTGGTCGCAGACATTTCGCCGCAAGGTCATCTCGCATCCCGACGCTTCGTCGAGGGACATTTAACCAGTAGTACTTCACGCCGCGGGATATCTTATCGCAACCCCGTTTATCCGAAACATTTCGCCGCGAGGCTGTTTCGACGAAAACACATTTCTTTTACTGACAAATTTTATTTGGCGTATTAAAACTGTTGTCACGAGAAAGGTAACCCCCCTCGAAATAACAGATAAACTGGAGGTGGGAGAAAACGGGTCTGCCATAAAAGAAGCGTTTATTGCCCAAAAGGGAAAAAATACAGAAATATGGGAAAAGGGAAGCAACGAACTGATCATTTCCATAGGAAATGCATAAATCCTAATTATCCTATACTAGCAGCCACCTAGGGCAACTGCTCCATATCTTGATTACGTACAGATACTTGGTCATATTGCTCGTGCAGAATTAACACCGAAAACGTCGCCAAATGAAAAAACGAATTCGTCCCGTCAAGTTGTCAACCGTGATTCGGAAACAATGTTAAAAAGGAGAGGCACTTCAGCAGTGCTTACATAATTATGCACACTCAGTGGAACAACGCTAGCTCGCCGTTTCAACGGTTTCGCTTGAGAAAAAAAAGTAGAAGCATTGTCAGAACAACACTACACCCCCGGATCGATGGGTTTATTTACCAGCGCGAAACATGGCTGCGATTTTGCGCGACTGATTGGTTACTCCAGTCAGCTGATTATTGGCAATCTCGGCTTCCTCGGATTCCTCCCCATACACCACCGTCATGATATGCAGCGCCGCCTGACAGTATTCGATAAGGACGCGAAAAGCTTCGGAGGATAGCTTCTCCAGCTGTTTCTTTGCCGGCTTCGGCAGCTTCTTCACTCTGTCCACCACGTGCTTTTCCAACGCTTCGGCGGCATGCATGGTAGCTAGCGTCAGCAGCACAGCGCCGTACGTTTCGTACTTGGGATAGATGCTTCTAAAGATAAATCTGGGCTCAGCGGATTATTTTATCACTTATCAGTATCATCATTTTTTTATCCTTCTTCTTTAATTGAAGTATGTAATTTGGTCCGGTACATAACATCAAATTCATGTACATCCAAGGGAACTTTCGCTGTCGAGCACTCCCAGACACATTCATGCATTGCTTTATGATATTTTATAGCCAAAGAATTTGTATACGTAGGCGTGAAATCCCTTAGCGCGCGGCCATCCGGTTGGAAAGTTACGGGTGAATCAAAATTCCAAAACGTAAATGCATTCAAGTGTATCAAAAGTCTCATTATAAACCGATCTTCTTGGTGCTATGTAGTATGTACCGGGCCAAATTCCTTAACCGGTTCAAAAATTAAGCTAGCAAACAAGGTTAAATGTGGCATCATCACCTTTTTTTAGGATAATGCGTATGAAATTAAAGTGCACATTTACCGCATACAGGCGACCACTTCCTGTGTCATCTTCCAGCCGTCCTCAAAGCGGTCCTCCAGGAAGTACTTGCGCGGCAGTTCCCAGCCGCAGACAAAACGAAAATGCGCATCCGGCTGCAGGATGCCGGCCGCGTCCATCTCCTCGCACAGCAGCATCCCCTGGGCTTTGGTGATCTTGGGCTGCGCGGGATAGCTGGCCTTAATGGAGGCGAACCGCTGCATGTAACGACGGAATTCTTTCAGCCGTTCGCCGTTGACGGCGCCGCAATCCGTGCATGCTTCCATCGCCCGCCGGTCGCTGGGAATCCGACTGCTGCAGCCGGCAGTCACACACTTCAGCATATTGATCTCAGCATCCTACGACCGTCAGAGTTTAACCAGGATCGTTGATACAATTTGAATTGCCAGAATTTCTGGCTGGAAGCGTACATATTTCTCCGTGCATTTCCGGCATGTGCACGGATGTCCGCCGGTACTCTTCTCAAAATTGCCACGACGTTCGTCTCTCGTCGAGAAGAACTGTTGTCGCAAATTACTGAAGCGCAGCTGTAAGGAAAGTTGCTAATTAAAATATGTAATACGAAACTGGAATTTGTTATATTTCTACATCATTGCCTTAATGCAGACAAATCGCATGAAAGCGTTTATAACCTTGGTCATTCATGGTTTTAGTCGTACAAACAGTCCTACACAGAAAACACGTGCATTTCGAGATACATCACCCTAGTAATCTGCACAGGTATGACACAATTTTTGTGTGTCAGTCTTTATTGTAACAGCGAATTGGTTGGCACAGTACAAGATTACCGATACCTGTAGTTCACAGTTTTACGAACGTACGGGAAAAAGCACTACATGGCGTTTCTACTGCACCTGTGTACGTTACAGGACGTGAAGAAAGCAAACTCACATCCTTCATCCCGTTGTACACGGGGATGTCTTCGGTGGCGTGGATGACCATACAGCGTCCCCGGAAGTTGATGACGACATTGACATCCCAGCACACCGCCGTCATGAGGCGCTGCGGCTTCACCGGGTACACGGCGAATCCAATGGGTGCGGTGCCGCTGACCGTATTGTAGATGGTCTCCGTATTGCAGGCGACAATGGCGTGGTAGGTGAGGATATCCAGCACAGCGACCCCCGAGAGCGGCTCCACGTCCGGAAGTCTGCGAGAAAATGTACGGCACTCAAGAAAGAGAAGATAAAGATAAGAGTGCCGAGGAAAACCAACCCCATCCTCTTCTGCATGCTTTTCTTGTCCTGATACGCCGGATGTTGCGGCAGCATCTCCACCAGCTCCCGCGCAGGGCGCACTCCCTTGCCGGGGAGGTTCACCATCGTGTTCAGCTGGAAAGCCATTTTTTATTAAATTAAAATTCCCCTGGTTTATTCATCTTTCGAACTGTGATAAGTCTCGTTTAATGAGTGATTTGCAGTTTTTTCAAGTTATTTTTTTTTAGATTTTCTACATAAAATCTCCGTAATCGAGGGCGGCAGGCCTGGTGCCTAAAACCAGCACGCAAGCACAAATCGTGAAAAAATGTAAGTAAAGCAGCTTATTTATTATTTTACTGAGTAATACTGACGATAGTTAAATTAGTAATTACATAATTATGGCATATGGTGTTGCTTTAGTGAAAATGGGTGCCAGTTTTGGAAAATTACGCTTAAATATTCGGATTAAGGATAACAGATATTAAGTCTCAAAAATAAATTTTGTTATAGATAATTATGATAAATTACATAAAATTACCCTGACTTTGTTGGCCATTTTGATGACTAACTCCAGGGGCGGTGTAAAACTGTAAAGTTGTCCCGCAGCCCGACGATTGGCGGACCGCCTCCATCTTCGTTCCCGTGTCCATCTTGGCCAGGGTTGCGCACTCCAGTTTGTGCTCCAGTTTCCAGTCGGCGGTCTAGGAAGTAATTCAAGGATACAATATGTGGTACATGTCACACGACTGTATGACAATCTCCGAGAATATTCCAACGGGCTTTATTATATCAAGCTTCTTAGATGCAGCGTCAGGCAGGCTCCAGACACTTCGCGAGGCCCGAGGGAACCACAGGGAACCCGGCTGCTGCATCGATGAGTCGTTACTTACCTGACAGGTAGCATTGCAGTAGCGGTGCAAACGGCATCCGGCACACGTCCTTAAAGATTCGCTCTTATAGAAACAGAAAGCACAGTGCGTTTTGTAGGCGCTGGATTCCAGTGCCCACACAAACGGATCACACGACATGATAACATCCCCCGCAGCGAAAGAACGACAACCACCCTCTGGTGCGTCGAGAAAGCTCTCCATTTCCACAGTTAGCGAGTAATAACCGCGGCAAATCGAAATCCAGAATGAATGAATGAATTTATTTTCCCCAGATCACACTGTCTGGCAAAGACATCTTCCTGATGTGAAATGAAAACTGTGCAAAAATCAGAATATGAACTCTAATAAAGCATCATTGCACTGTTGTCACGATCATTCAGCCACCACTGATCAGACTGCTGCCTAGATCCGGTCAACGCCAGTACAGTTTGGTATTGTTTCAGCCCGGGATTCTACCACCAGTCTGTACGAGAATGCAATCGACATTCGGCAATGAGGTCAAGAAGATCGTGCTTTGTTAGCTGGGCTAAATGACACAAAAGCGTTTAAAGCGGATTCCGGATTTTAACAGCAGTCACTGCTGAGAGAGCCTCTCTCTTCTTTGCCTGCACCACAGCATGCAGTGGCTCTGCACGAATTTTTGGATGCGCACACTCAAAGCCAACAGATTAGACCTATTGGTCTATTCTATTGGCTTTGATAAACTGCTCAGGTACAGGTGCTAGGAGGCCGGTGCCACCGCCCACGATAGTGGGGCTGCGTGGATAGCCGCACCGTCTCTCCGGTCTGTTTTTGCCGATTCGACCGTGTATTAAAATACACGGCCTTCACTCGATGATTTTGCCTTCTCCCAGCCAAGAATATCTTGACTGGTCGATGCTGTTTTTCCCTTTGCTTTCTGTTTTTCCTGCTAGATGTCATCCAGAGGATGATCTAGATTTGTCGGGCACTTTGCCTTTATTAAAATTTGCTATTTTAATAAAGCTTTCGTTTGGTAGCACGTCGATTCCGTTCGCATTTCTGTGACACGCGCACGGCGTGCTTACATGGTGGAGATTTGCGGGTTCGATCTTCCGCATCCCTGTAGCAGAGTGTTCTTTTAATAGGCAAACAGGCATTCTGCCTCGTTAGCCGTAATTAGCCGATTTCTTGCACTTTTAACAGTGCCAGAATTTAACTGCGCGCGCAGCCGAGATTCCCTGTATCGGCCTACCGGATTCAGCACGTCGCCTACAGCGAAGCGTTGGATACGGCCGTACAGTTTCGACGAAAGATACCAACAGCAGTTACCCGACAACGCGGAGTTCCTGCTACGATCCCCCGTCGGCATCCGTCGATAACCGTCTCCCACCTACTCCAGAAGCAAGCCCACACATCGGGGATACCTCTGCGAGCAAGCCGGGAGCGAAGAAACGATCCTGCATTCGGACGTGGAATTCCGAAGCAAGTCAGCAGCGTCGTCGTCTCACGTCGCCGATTCCGTTCAGCAGTCAGCAGGTAAGCCGATCTGCCGTAGCAGAAAAGCCGAGAATCTCTGAATTAATTTTCAGAGTAATTAGCCGGATAAATTTTAAAAGCAATATTGCTTTTATTTATCGATAAATTGGCCGAATATGGCAGCTTTTAGGAGTTGCTCTGCCGTGGTAATGTCGTGTGATATTACCGTATTCCAATCGACTTTATAGTCGATTTAATCGCCGAAATTTTCTCTGCAATTGCAGGAAACTACTGCCGCTAATTTTTAGATATTTTGGGAAGATAAATTCATGAAGAATTTACCCCCAATCGTTTAAATTTTGTCGTGCACAGAAGTCATCTGGGCTACTGTGTGATACCGTTTTCGTGTGATCGATCCTGCAATTTTAATTGCAGGATCCAATCGACTTTGCCGTTAAAATTTAATCTGCACTAGCAGATAAATCGTGCCGTATTTTTCAAATATTTTGACAGGGTCAAATTGTCAAAATCCTGTCGTACACGGAAGCTATTGAAGCTACCGTGTGTTATCGTCCTATTGACCGATTCCGCACCAGTAATCTGCGTGATTCAGTCAATTCTGCCGTTTAAATTTTGACCTGCAATAGCAGATAAATATCGCCGTGATTCCTTAAAATTTAAAAAGGATAAATTCATTGGAATTTATCCACAATAGTCGAAATTTCACAGTGCACGATAACCATTTAGGTTGCCGTACAATACCGATTTTGCGTTACCGAATTGCACCCTAATATTGAGTGTGCGCCGAAAACCCGAAACCGTAATTCATAAGAATTACGAACTTATTTCGCCGGTAATTTTTCTTCTTTCCGCGATTATTGTCGACTGCAACCGAAGAAATTCGATCGCAGAAATTGCGAGAAAATAGTAGGATATCGTTCCGATACAACCGTGTGTTGTATTTAATAATTTTGCCGAAATTTTGCCGATTCATTTAAATGAACAATATCGAAATTGCGCAGTGTAAATCATTGCAATTTACATGAATAATTGTCGACAAAATACCGATCATTTTTAATATTTTGCCGATATGAATACGGTAGAAATACCGGAATACATGAGCCGTAAATATTTGATCTTCACAAGGTCAAATCCAGGGTTGACTGTATAATATTGCAGTACATTTAGCCGATTGTTATCAGACACGGAAACTGCCGTTACCGTGTCTCTCTATAGCCGTCAAGTGTCGTGCATCGACACCATAATACGCAGTAATTAAATTCTCTAATTTCGATAATTAATTGCCGAAATTAACCGACTACTTTCTTTTCATTTCAACCGCAAGTCATTTTGCAATTTAGTCGACTTTACGCCGACCCATTTATGGGAACTAGAAAATGAATTGCCGTTTGACTTACCGTATTCGTTATTAGAATACAACCGTAATACATACCGGTTATATTTTGATAAAACTGTCGATATGGAGCGAACACCAGTGAACAAAGCAAAGCAGTTCGCTAATAACCTTTTACGAACAGCCGATCGATTAATTCGAAATCAGCTGAAAGACGTAGAAACAAATGATAATGCAGCCCGCAATGTTACCCGCGGGAAAGCGAAACAAATAGTAGCCGGTGGTGAGGAAGTAGTACATCAAGTGCTGCAAACCAATAAAAGAAAGCCGAAAAGAGCACCAATAGCCGATCTACCGGTACCTGAAGCGGTAGAACAGCCGGCCTCGCCGATGGTCCCTAAAGACCTAAACGAGGCTATGATCGAAGTAGAGACACAACCGAGTGTCGAACGAGTCGACAGCGTAACAGCGTCGACAACGTCGACCGAATCGTCGGTATCGCTGATCAATATTAGCGAACCAGCGTCCAAGGAGTCGGTCGACTCTTCGGACGAAGACGATGATGAGCCGACAACGGTGGTACCGTTGAGACCGAAGGCGCATTCCAGTCCGAACCTTATCGATAAGGTTTTGGGCAAGGACTTGACACCGGTCCTAAAAATTCCGCCGATTCAGCCGTTACAGCCGACAGGAGAGAAAGGGCCCCGGTTCAGCCTGTTAATGCAAGCTACCGATACAGTGGTAGAATTGCAGAACCAAGTGTCGGACCTTAGAGTCCGATACGAAAAAGCCGAACAAGATATCGCAAAACGCAATAAGACGATTTGCGATACAAAAGCCGATTTGGTGACCTAAAGGAGCAGCTACGAACGGCTAAAGGCTCCCATAATAAGGCAAGCGAAGCCGCCGTCGGGCTCGCTGCCCAAGTTAGGCAACGGGATAATAGGATCGATCAACTAAAAGCCGAACTACAAAAAGCACAAGCCGAACTAAAATCCGAAAAGGATTCGTCGACCAACTTCCGTAATCAGTATCTCGAAGCTATACAAGAGAACGGAAAGTTGAGTACAGAGTCCAACGACCGACTCGCTTCGATCTCTATGCTGCAAGAGTCGAGTGAGAGATACCGGTCGGAATTTAATATATTAGCCGAAAAGTACAACCGCCTGTTGGCAACGCACCAGCAGATGATAGCTGCCGCCGAAAACCAGATCGATTATGAAGAACGGCCGCCTACGCGAATGCGCGCTGGCCAGCCCGAAACCATGCACTCCCGCATGGAGCCGGCCCCGACAGTAGAACATATCAGCCGACAGCAGGTTTCCCATAAGGAGGCAGAGGCAATTTGTGAAGCCCTGCGGGAAGAACTGCGTAAGCTAAGTAAACGAACAAGTCGAACCAATAGTCCATTAAGGAAAGCCGATCTAGCCGATGCCATACGACAGCCAGTCCCTAGGCCGTCGTATAATGGCAGTAAGGAAGATATTGATAGTTTCCTTATCAAGTTCGAGCAAGCCGCAAAAGAAAACCGATGGGTAAGCGATGAGCGTAAGATAGCCGAACTGGCCTACTGCCTGAAGGATGAGGCGGTTATCTGGTACAACGGCCTGCTCACGTCCCCAAATAAGCCGACTACGTATCGGGAGTGGCGTAACCAATTGGTTGCGCGGTTCGGAGATACCAGACGCTCTGTAAATGCGTTGTCCGAACTCACGAACCGAATGTACCGACCAGGTCAGGAATCGCTTGAGAGTTTCTTTCAGGCGATGATGACGCTGAGAGATAAGGCCGGGTATGCCGGTACGCCGGATCAATTCGTGACCTTTCTAATGAAGGGCATTAAGCCGCATGCAACTTTGCATGACAAAATCGAGGGCATGGATCCTCGTACGCCGGAAGAATTTTTAGAGAAGATTCGCTACTTAACGGCGAGTAATCCCAAAAAGTATGTGATTCCGGTCGGCAGTAAACGTAAGAATCAAGATGCCGACTCTGTGACCGTTCGAACGGTACAGACCCAGCCGAAGCCGGCGAGTTATGCGGCAGCAGCTGCAAACCCGCCGCGCCCCATTAATGGGGGGAATCGTCGACCAAACCGACCAGCCAATAATGGCAACGATACTGGTAATATTAGGCCGGCAAGTAATGCTAATAACAGTAATGTTAGGCCAGCCGGCAATAACAACAATAATCAACAGTCGAACCGTTCCCAGCTGTGGGCCGAGAACGCCGGGCGTATTCCTGAGAATACTAACCGGGCCCCACGTTTGGAGAAGGAAATGAGAAATGGTCGAGTAGTCGAGTACTGCCAGCAGTGCGATGTCTGTGGGCACTACTTTGAGGCATGTCAGTTTAAAGACGTGCCCCGAGCCGAAAATCCAATCTATTTGTCGTATCACGACCCGGTAACCGGAGGTCGCCGGTACGCCCGGGATTTCCGGAGCCGAAGCCAAACCGGTAGTGGAACGAGCACGCCTAATGGCAACCGTTCCCGTAATAATTCACAGCCGCGTGTACAAGGCCAAGGCCGACCGATCGGTCCAAGGCCGACGTCACGTTCACCGCCGCCGAACCAAAATGAATACGCGACATCAGCAAGTAGCCAGGAAAACGACAACGGGGAGTAACTTCCGGCAGTACTCCCCGGTTGCCTGGTGAAATGCCGGATACTACTGAAATAATAACTATTAGTGGTATCCGAATCACCGAACCGACCGAACTAAACGAGCCGATTATTAACGAAATCAATATTGATGATTCTAAAGTCGATTCAACTAAAGAGCCGAAGCGGGCGCCACCGTTAATGGTGTGGGCACGCATTGTAGGCACAACCGTTATGGTTATGATCGATACTGGAGCCGAGACGTCACTCATCTCGAATGAGTTCGTCGACGAATTAAAACTAGAAAAACTACCGTTAGTTAAGCCACTAAACATTAGAGGAATCGGTGGTATGTGCGGATTTTTAGTAACCCACTACTGCACGGTACCTGTCAAAGTATTTGGCGAACTAATCAACCATTCTTTCTATATTAAGCCGACTGTCGCCGACACTAAAGTGCTATTAGGTCAGGACTTCTTGGCCGGTGCCAACTATGGTGTCCGTAATAACGAATTACAATGGATCCGTAGGATCCACACTATTGTAGTCGAACCAACAGTTGTTGAATCTATAAAGCCGAATACTATTGAACAAATTGTTCCGATACCCGTGGCATCGGAACCAACTATTAATGCTGTTGATATTCCTAAAGAGCCGACCCCTAAAGCCGAAATTGTTCCGATACCCGTGGCAAAAGCCACGAGTAAAAGGAAAATTAAACTACCGCCGCCGAGAAAGTCGTTTGCTAAGTTATGGCAAGAGTATCAAGTTTTTGTATCCGAAGTACAAGAACTGACGAAATTGTTCCATAAAACCCGACAAGATATTCTTGTCTTAGGAGACGACAGTACGCCGATTTCAGGCATTAGTCCTAAGGAAGCCGAACAAATTGCGAATAACCTAGATTCTGCCTTCACAGCCGAGTATCTCTTGATGTTAGAGAAACAAGAGAAGTTGAAGGAAGCATTTGAGTACTTCAAATTTAATGTACCATATGTTTTGCGAGCCGACTTAGAAGGCATGATTCAACTAAAACCCGAGTCAGCTGTCAAGCTGCCCTACCGATTAAAGCCGAAATATAAGCCGAATAATATGCCTCCCGAAACGGAAGGCATAACTAAAGCTAACCGAGCGCCTCGGGCACATTTTCACCCAATGGCGTCCGTAATGGAGTTTAATAAAGACGAGCCGACTATAGAATGTAGATTGCAACCGAACGACGATGTCGCATGTAATAATGCGAATGTCGAATCAAACGAGCCGAATCATGCCGATACTGTAGCTGATAAAGTACCAGACCTAAACGAAACTCTATCCAGTATTCAATCCTTTGACGCGTCTAATCTAATCATTGCAAATGTAGAGCCGGTAGTTAATACTGAATCGACGCCGAATAATAGGGAATCAGCTGAACCTGATCAGTCAGATGACCCCACAGCTATTGATAAGACTTGGGAATTTCCTGAGTCGCCTACTATTGAATCTACTTCTCGTAGCCCACGCCTCCAATCGATTAAGGTGTTCGCTACCGATAAAATTCTAATCAATCCTGGTATAAATATGGCTGCAGTAGTAGCACGATTCGACCCAACCGAAGAATTTTCGACCGATAAGTTTATGTTCTTGCCGAGCCCACATGTTTACATGGAGAGGCATATTAAGCCGATTGAAGGTGTCGTAAGACCCGCTAATGGGAAATTTGAACTGGGATTGTTCAATTTCCATAATAGCCGAAAGTCGATCAAGAAAGGTCAGTTCATCGGGTATCTCGAACCGTACGAAGAGATAGAAGATGATGAGATCTGTATTAATTCCGTTAAATTAGCCGAACGAACGCCGGAAGAACAACAAGAAATCCGAGAAGCCGTTGATGCGCTTAAGATTAATTCTAAGCTGACAGCCGAACAAATAGCGAAGATCAAGGAAGTATTCCTTGAGTATCCCGATCTATTTGCTACTAAACGCCGACCTTTTGGTGACGTTACAATTGTAAAGCACCACATCGATACGGGTGATTCCCCGCCGATTAAATGTAAGCCGCACCGTACCTCTTGGCGAGGTCGGGAGATAATCGAAGAGCATGTTAAAGAAATGCTCGAAAAAGGTATTATTCGCCGATCAAATAGCAACTGGTGCTTCCCAGTTGTGCTGGCTTCTAAGAAGAATCCAGACGGTACTATCGGTACGCGTTTCTGCGTCAACTATATAAAGTTAAATGACGCAACGAAAAAGAATAATTACCCTTTGCCGTCACCGGATGAATTGCTTCAATCCGTAGCCGATAATGAATACTATGTAGGTGTCGATTGTAATGCCGGGTTCTGGCAGATACAAATGGCCGAAGACTCGATTGAAAAGACTGCGTTCATCACGCAAGACGGTCTTTTCGAATTTTTACGCATGCCTTTCGGCGTGTGTAATGGGCCGGCAACATTCCAAGAGACCATGAATAAAGCTCTTGTAGGAGTACGCAATGAGAATATCTTTGCGTACCTGGACGATATAATTGTAGCCGCTAAGGATTTCGACGATTTGATTCGTAAAATCCGACTAATGTGTGAATGCCTTGTTAAGGTCGGCTTCACGCTTAAGCCGAGCAAGTGCCATGTCGGTGAAACCGAGTTGCACTTCCTTGGACACATAGTGTCTAAAGCCGGAATCAAAACCGATCCGGAGAAAATCTCCGCGATTCAACAATATCCGAAGCCGCAAACTGAGAAGGATCTTCGATCTTTCCTCGGTTTATGCAACTACTACCGTAAGTTCGTTAAGGATTTCGCTAGCCGAACCCGAGCCATGTATGGCCTACTGAAGGGTGAAATTGATGTCAAGAATAAGTGGACAGCCGAACATGACGCCGAGTTTGTCGATTTGAAAAATGCGTTGATTAACGCGCCGGTTTTGGTCAAATTTGATCCAAATAAGCCGACAGTTATTGAGTGCGATGCTAGTACGATAGGAATAGGATCTATCCTACATCAGGATGGTCATCCCATCGTTTACGCTAGCAAACTCTTAACCGACGCCGAACGTAAATATCCGATCACCGAATTGGAATGTATGGCTGTAGTATTTGCATGCCGTAAGTTCCGACATTTTATCGAATATTCACATTTCTATGTGCAAACCGATCATCAAGCGTTAACAAACTTGTTACGCTCTGTGTCGAGGAAAGAAGGCTTGAACGGGCGCCTTACCCGTTGGGCACTTCAACTGAGTAGTCACAAGATGACTATTCAGTATCGGCCGGGTAAACAATGCGATAATGCCGATGCTTTAAGCCGTCATCCGGTCGGACCACCGGTCGAGACCGCTGACGATGATGACTGGGACGAAATGAAAGATCGGAAGTTCAGTACTCCGACCATTCGAGTCGTCACTATCACCGACCCAGCCGAACATGATGAAGACGAAGATAATTTTAAGTATTATCGAGCCGAACAGGAAAAGGATCCTGTAGTCGAAAAGCGTATTCATGCCCTTGAGGGCCGAGCCGAAAGTACTCACTTAATCAAACGCGATCCATACTTTGAGTTATGGAACGGCGTTTTATACCGATTAACCGAAAAGGACGGCCGCCTTGATCGACGGTTCGTCGTGCCGAAGCATATGCGTGTCGATATAATGCATGCTATGCACGATGCACCGGCTAGCGGACATTTGGGTCCATTAAAGACGTATCAGGCAATTGCGCTTCGTTATTATTGGGACGGCATGGTTGCCGACATCGATAAGTACGTACGCAACTGTTATTTGTGCCAACACCGTAAAACTGAACGGAAGGCACCGCCGGGTAAGCTACAACAGATAGCTATCGGAGCCCCGTGGTTCCGAGTACAAGTCGATTTAAAAGGACCTTTGCCGACTACCCCAAGAGGTAGTACATACATAGCCGTTGCTATTGACGAATTGACTAAGTTCGTAATAGCTAAGCCGATTCCTAATGCAAAAAAGGAAACTGTCGCTAGTTTCCTGATTCACGACGTATTCCTGCCGTACGGTACGCCGCATATTTTGAATACCGATCGTGGAACTCATTTCCACAATAAGCTTCTTGAAGCGATTAATCACCGCTTGAAGATTCAGTATCATTTCGGTGCTGCCTACCATCCGATCGGTAGAGGCTTAGTCGAACGCCAAATGCAAACTATTGCCGATTCGTTGGCAATGTATGCCGCCGACGGACGGGAAAAGAATTGGGATACCATTCTCCCGTTTGTAATAGCCGCTAAAAATCGCGTACAAAACGCAACTACTAACATGTCGCCGTACTATATGCTGTACGGGCGTGAGCAAGTTATTCCAGCCGATACGGTCACTAAGACCAATATACCAGCCGAACATGCATCGATAGCTGAATACATGGATGAATTTCGCCATAATTTAGCACGAGCGCATGAGTTAGCCGAAATTTACATGCGAGAAGAATTTATTAAAACGGCCGAACGTTTTAATAAAAAGCGTCGAGAAGACGATTATCAGATCGGTGAACTAGTTCTTCTAAAGCGAGAGAAGAAGAAAGGCGAAACCGAATCCTTCCGAGAAAAATTCGGAGGTAGATGGGAAGTTACCGGTTTCCCGTATACTAATGCCGTTGAAATCGAGAATAAGGATAAGCCGGGAGAAACTCGCATCGTCAATTGCGAGCGCCTCAAACGGTTTAATACAACTGAGGAAGATCGTAAGGGAATAACCAGTACGATCTCTTTGCCGAAAACTGCCGAAAATGGTTTAAATGTGAACGTTGAGCCGTTCATACCAGCCGATACCGTAGAAGCTGTTGAAGCTACAAACGATACCGATAAAAATAATGTCGAAGCCGCCGCTGATGATGATCAGTGGGAACCCGAAAGTGTGGTTGCCGAAACTATTAGCCGTAAAAATATTAGGAAAAAGCCGGTTAAATTAAAATTATATGTACGCCGTAATAAAAACGGATATGTACATGTATGTTAATAGCCGACCACATTTTCCTATCGAGAGGTCCGTACCTCCCGCCGATCTAAATCCCCACTAGTTTTCTACCATAAGTGGTCCATATCTCTTGCCGAAACTTATTAGCCGCTCCAATCTGGAGAATTTTCACTATTGACTTATGAATTAATAGTGATTATTGCCGTTGAATAATTGTCGATTAATTACTGAATTAATTTTTGAATTATTCATGTAATTAATATGCCGTACAATTCACCGGGCTTACTGTGTTGTAGGCAAAGTCGGAATGGACGGCCAAGGCCAACGTCAGCCGCAGCGTCCGCCGGGATCAGGTAACGGCATAACGCCGCGTACGCCGCCGAATACTATCCGTCTAAATGTTGTGGCAAATGCCCAATCAGACGATGAGCCGGTCGAAATACGAACAGTTCGAGTTTCTCGTTCTGCCCAAACCGATCCAGTAACTATTATCGATTATGATCCGCTTCATGAATTGATAAGCCGAATGCAGGAAGATGATGGCGAGAATTTTCCGCCAGAAGAATCGCCGGAAAATTCACAAAATATTCAAGCCGAACTTAATATTCAGCCGACGCAAAATGTAGCCGTAATACAGCCGAATGCTCGCACGGTGACAACACCGGCGCCAGTACCATTATTGCCGATTAATTTAAACGTCTCACGGAGCGAACCTCCGTCTACTCAGCCGGCACGAAATGTGCAAGAACAGCCGACATCAGATCACGGTGTGATCCGGTTAAATTATCCTGTGCCGCATGAGATTCGTCTCACCGAAACGCCGGTTATAACTCCGTACCCGCCTGTGGTACCGGGTGGCCCGCCGATGAATTTAGCACGGATCACCATTGGTGATCAAAGGCATTCCTTAATTGTGGGACCAGCGAATATCCCACTACCGCCGTCCATGCAGCCGCGAATAATTAATGTTAGACCGATTTTACCGTGTCCTATACCGCCGGCACAGCCGCGAATGGTTGTTGCCCCGCCGAATACTACGGTGCGCTACCGACCTACGAGTAGTGGTACCGCACTGTCACAAGGCCGATATATTATTTCGCCGACCGATCAGCAGTTTCCTGTTAGTACTTTAATACGACCGGGAGTTGTTAGAATTAGTACGCCGACCCGTATGCCGAATACTACAGTACTACAAAGTACTTCGCCGGTGGCACCATCTGATCGTGTGCCCAAACAGTCCAGCGATGGACAAACTTCGCCGAACAAAATTCCGCGGTTGTCTCCAGAAGACACTGGTAATCATACGTCCGAAACGGCTCTGCAAGAGTCCGAACGCCGACAGAAGTTGAGACAAGATAAGGAAGATTTGCAACGGCAAATCTCCCAAGTCCGAGATCAACTGAATCGTAGCTACTTTAGTAGCGAAGACGAAGAGGAGCCGAGATTAGTAATCGATGAACCGACTGTCGAAGTAGAGCAGTTGGATCAGTCGATGCAGGATCAGACGGGGGAAAATGTTAATAACTCCCCGGCTGTTCGTGTACCGTCGCCGGAAATTCCGGAATACACATCAATAATTAAAAAGCCGTCGCCAGATAAATTGTCTGATAAATCGCCGAATAAATCGTCGAATAAGTCCGAAGAATCATCGCCGTCTAGTGTGTCATTGCCATTCGAGCAGGGACCACGTGAACCTGCAGACGAATTGTCCGCAATGTTAGACATCGCCTTTTCAGCCTTTAAAGAGCTGAAGAATAAGGAGAGAGCCGCTTCGTTTACATTCTTGTTCCAGTATTATCGGGGCAAGATAAGCCATAACCCTGATCGTGAACGTTCCGATTAGCTATTCAGGGTGCCGTTAATCGAGGAGAAATGCTCGAAGTGTACCAATATTGGTCGGGTACAATTATGTACTCGCCGACTGATCTACGCCGTCGTTGGTACGAGCGTATGGTCATTTGTACGCCGGAAAGTTTTAGAGAAGCCGTGACTATCGCTATACACGATATCCATAACAGACTTGGTTCGTCTGTTGCCGAAATAGCTAATTATATTACGCTAACTATGCCGATGCGACTTGTCGCTGCCGCACAACAGTTTCCTATGATTTTGGAAGCTGTCCACGAATTAGTCCGTAGGGAAATAATCGTGGAAATCGCTGGATTAAACGTGCCACGTTATGCACTAGCCGATACGAATCGTACACGATTGAGTGCCGTCACGGGTGTATCCGTGAAAGACTTAGGTCTGCCGCCGCCGGACAAGAAGCGTAAAAGTGTAACTGTAGTCCGACCACCGCCGCCGCCTCCAGAACCGACACACGCCGTTCTGGCAGACGCCATCGGTCAGATTTTAAGATCTCGACAACAGCCGGTATTAGGCAGAATTACTGATACGTTAAGACATCGGTATAGTGCGCAAGCAGTAGCAGTTGCGCTTAATCGCGAATGGGAACAGGGCCGACTTTTGCGCCAGTTTAACCATCGCCAATTAATGGTATATTATACCATAGCGCCGAATGTATCGTTTTTGCAAGACTACCCGCTTTTTGATGCCACTCAATGGCAGGAAGTGGTGATCCGTACCATAGCCGAAATTAATGATCCATTGGGATCAACTGTCGACGAAATAGTGCAATATATTCGCACGGTTCGTCCCGAAATGGGAAGTCGCGTTGATCACTATGTTGAATTAGCCGTGTCGGAGTTGGTATTCAACCCGCGTATAATTTCCGTTAATGATCCGGAACGGGGCATCACTTGCCGGATTAATCCAGCGGATGCGCCCGGACCGTCACGCCGATAATTTAATACTAGAATTAACAGCCGAGTAATAGCCGATATTATTTCTGTAAAATTAGTCGATAATTAATTATCCATTAAGATGGTTAGTTATTTAATAGCCGTTCATTATTCCCCCACTAAATTGTGGTCCTATGATTATCATCCCAGTGGTGAAGCCGAATTTGCCATTGGCAAAATTCGGGTCCGCTCCATCACTGTTGGATACCACTACGGTTAAGTCCGCAGGTACGAGTACCGAGCCGAATAAAAATAAGAATGTTTCAAAACCGTCGAATATTAATAACAATAATAAAGTCGCTACTAAATCGGGTGTTGCAGGAAGAACACAGCAGTTGCCAGCTGTGCCCGCACCTGTGCCGCCGATCTCAACTGTTCCTGTCGAACAGCAGCCAGCAATAGCTGTGCAGCCGATTGTTGCGAATGAGCAACCAGCGAGTGTTGCTTTGCCGATCTCTACTGAAACGCAGCCGGTTAGTGCTGCCCCGCCGAAACGAAAATTCAACAGACCTAAATCTGTTAGTACAGAGCCGAAGAGGAAGGATATCCTCGTTGAACATTATCTGGTGAAATTACCAATTTCCCGCATGTCCGACGCCGAATTTGAGTTTTATAAGACTACAAAGTCTTATGAAAATGAAGCCGAACCGAATTCCGAAGAATACAAACGGAATACGATGGCCGTTTTACGCAAAATGAACGAATCCGATATGAATAAGGACCAACGTGCGTTCTTTAATCAATATCGCGATGATTACCTAGATGAATATCTAGATGACGCCGATTTGTCGAACGATAATAATGAACAGCCGCTTATTCGTTTTCCGCCAAATGGCGAAGAAGCCGAAATATTCCACGACACAGTGGAAAATGTGCTGGCTCAATTTGAGCCCCCTGTGTTGCCGATGTCGGAGGTACTAGGCGATGCTTTACATGCAGTCGCTGGAGCCGCTACAGCCGATTCTATTTCTGACGTTGCTGCCGTCGATGCTGACACCGACATGCTGAACGATGCGTGAGCGACGATGCCGAACTGCTGCTATGGAGGACAAGAGATTCTCCAAGCTGAATTCATTCTGGAATGGGATCTCATCAAATTCGCCAATTTTTTGTGATTTTTATAACCTAGTATATGCGCCGCAAATTGTACTCGGTCGCATTTTGCTCATTGTTTTGTGTTTGTTTTTTTCGATTTGGTGTGTCCTCGCGGGAGCTTCGGAGTTCCACCCGTGGCATGCTAGGAGGCCGGTGCCACCGCCCACGATAGTGGGGCTGCGTGGATAGCCGCACCGTCTCTCCGGTCTGTTTTTGCCGATTCGACCGTGTATTAAAATACACGGCCTTCACTCGATGATTTTGCCTTCTCCCAGCCAAGAATATCTTGACTGGTCGATGCTGTTTTTCCCTTTGCTTTCTGTCATCCAGAGGATGATCTAGATTTGTCGGGCACTTTGCCTTTATTAAAATTTGCTATTTTAATAAAGCTTTCGTTTGGTAGCACGTCGATTCCGTTCGCATTTCTGTGACACGCGCACGGCGTGCTTACACAGGTGTCCCTATTTTGTTCTCATGCAGAGGTGTCCCTGTTTTGGCAAAACTGCCAAAACTTGCTTTCAGCCTTCTTTCAACTTTCTGATATCATAATTAGTTTAGCGGCTGTGTGCCTGTCTGTGGCAGAATAAAGAACTGACAACGCGTAGGTCCGGTACTGGCTCTTGGACAGTTATTAATTTGTTTAAATCAAGCCGATTTTCATAGACTTGTGCAATCATTTTTTGTTTTACTGCACAAGTCCGCACTTCATTTAATTGAAACCAACATTTCATCTTCCGTGCTTCGCTCGAGATCCTTTAATACCGGCATTGGTATCTAAATTTTCAAATTCTAACAAAAATGGCGACTCCTTGGTGTGACATAATAACGTATGGGAGATCCACAACGGCTCTAAAATCTTTTCCAACCCGCATCATCGACATGATGCCACCATTACGCTATTATCGGGAGCTGCGCTCGGTTCCGCGCCAAATGAACTTTGGGAACACGGTGCTGGCGCAGCGCGACGCCGGCCAGTGGTGGCTGGGATACGTTCAAGATATTGACGGCGAATATTTCTTCATTGACTTCGACGCCAGCACAATCAGCGCCCAATGGATTCACTCCAAACACCTCTGGCCGCATCATTTCCCTTATTTAAACACTCTCCACCCATTTCCACCAAAGCCCATGCAGGTCGCCCTGCAAGACGAAATCGGCGGACCGTTCATTTTCCGACCTGCCACTTTTATTAAGGGTTATTACTGCATGTTCTGCACTGTTAATATCAACCAGGATCCCGCAGACCAAACTACTCCACCTGAACAACGCGTTGCGCCGCTGCGCCATCTAGCCACTACTTTTCCGGCACCCGATGGAGAGCCATCTTTTCTGGGTAGGATAAACGGACTCGGATACCAAAAGCATGTCATTCCTTTCGACAAAGCACATTTGATCCGTGATGTGAATTATATGCCCGAATTTCTGGTTCGCGCTTGCCAGTTAATACCCGGTCCTGGTGACCTGTGCAAAGCCAGTTGTCGGTTCCAAAGGATTGCTGGACCAAATGCATTTTATTTCCACTGCTTGGAAGGGGCTAATCATACAAGCGTCGCCTATAAGTTCGACAGCGGTTGTCACGTGTTTGTGCGAGCGGAAATCGACACGATGACTTTCATCTGCGCCGAAGTGCACGGTGACTCAGCCGGGCGCAGCATGTTCTGGAATGGAGGTTCTCTCAAGGAAGCTTGTCAAAGCTATCTGGCTGTGCAAATTTTTAGAGAATCTTTACAAACCGGCAGGTTCGTGGCCAAGAGCATGACAACGGTTGCACTCCGAAAAGGTAAGTGCATACGAGTACTGATGGAATAACTGTTCTGGATGCCGGCATTCAGATTTCAGATTAGAACAAATTGATGTTTCCGTTGACTAATAGGTTGCAGTGGTGGAATTACTGTTCCACTTCATACAGATACAGTAGAAGACTAGAAGGTCACAAGTTTTAGACTAGATTTGCTTCATACATATTACCTACTTATCCTTCTGCATCTGCCACCAGCTGAATAAGTATTTTGCAGACTTGGACGAAATGCCCATCTTCGACCTCCCAACCGCGATCCTCACCAGTGTCTTCCTCAGTCTGGATGTCGTTTCTCGGTTACGGATAAGCCAGTACGTTGTAGACAATTGTCAGCAGACAGCAGTAGCAATGCGTAGGAACATATTAGCTCTCGGCTGCCTCGGCAATCAGTGGACCTGGGACCACGATCACAGTGACCGGTGAAAGAGCAATGTATCTACCCGTAGAGACCTTCAAGTGGCCACCTATGTTAAGTCAATGGGCGACATACCTTCAAGTGGCCAGGCATTAGTTATTTGGCCCCAGAACCGATTTTCTTCCCGTTTTTTGGTACAGCAGATTCAGCTCAACTTGTTCTTCACAGAGTACTTGAAAATTTCCAAATCGGTTGAACCGTTTTTTAGTTATTTACGTTGTAAAAAACCAGTGACGAAACGCTTAAGCCACGCCACGAGAGCCACTACACTACGCCAGCTTATTTCACTTATCCACCACACATGTGCGGGTGCAGCAAGCACTCGCTTTATATCAGCGAATATGAGCACAGAGGCAACCGGGATCACACTAAGTCTTAAAAAAGTCATTAAAATTTACAAAAAAAACAGAAACCAAAACAATAAAAATCACAAATTATTGAGCATGTGAAAAATCACGGGTTAGTGAAAACAAAAATTCACAGGTTAATAGACACCGGTTAGCAGTACGACAACAATTATTAAAAACCCTTTCCATACTTGTACTCGCCGTTTTCCACAAATCAATTCACCGATCTTTAACCGGTATCTTTAATTAACCTATAAATTTTTATTTTCACTAACCTGATTTTTCACATGCTCAATAATTTGTGATTTTTATTGTTTTGGTTTCTGTTTTTTTGTACATTTCAATGACTTTTTTAAGACTTATTGTGATCCCGGTTGCCTCTGTGCTCATATTCGCTGATATAAAGCGAGTGCTTGCTGCACCCGCACATGTGTGGTGGATAAGTGAAATAAGCTGGCGTAGTGTAGTGGCTCTCGTAGGCTTGCTGTTTCGTCACTGGTTTTACAACGTAAATAACCAAAAACGGTTCAACCGATTTGGAAATTTTCAAGTACTCTGTGAAGAACAAGTTGAGCTGAACCTGCTGTACCAAAAAACGGGAAGAAAATCGGTTCTGGGGCCAAATAACTAATGCCTGGCCACTTGAAGGTATGTCGCCCATTGACTTAACATAGGTGGCCATTTGAAGGTCTCTACGGGTAGTATCTACAGAGTACGACAAGAAACAGTGAAGTGTATCTCTCCTACGTCAATTCGATTATCTTCCTGGTTTTCTGGGTGCCACAATGGACGTAAAACGGATTTTACATTGGAACTGTTTACCTCCTCGCATTTCTAAGCAAACCAGGGGGTGGTCGTTAGGGGTATTGAATTTCTCAACAATGTCAGTGAGAGCTAGTAGTTTAAGAGGATGCGGTGAATTACAGTTGAGGTTAACACGTGTGCCACTAAACTTAATAAGTAACCACCCGTATGCATGGCGCTATCATGGCGGTGTTAACGGCCCTGGCGCCGTATGCCGCTGTTCATCGCGCCGCATGCACGGCGCTGTTAACCCTAAAATTCTTCCGTAATAATAGTAATGGTAATATCGACTGCCGGTGTTTACTCCCTACTGCAAACGGATGATTTCAGGGTGTGCGCATTGTGGAAGCTGATTTCGCGTGATTACATCAGTAAGCACCATATTATCATGTTCACCATCCCTTCCCTGTTTGCCACGGGACACTGGGACGACTCGATAGATTATGTTTTGAGCGCTATCACAGAGTACAAACTCGACACTATGCTAGAACGAACCCTTTCCCATGAGACACGGGCGATGGCGCTGGTCGACGAAAGAACGCCTGACGAGAGACGGTATGATCGATGTGACGGATGTGAGAGGGATTACGGTGCCAAAATGTCGACGATTTTCCATGCACTGAAAGACAAGTCTATACGCCTGCCCATGTTCATTGCCAAAAATGTCTACGAGACTGCCGCGTCAGGGTACAGTTCCTTTATGGGGCTGAGAGCGAATGAGAAGAGTGGACAGTTTGAATGCCTTCGGCTCTCGCATTGGATGACTGTTTGTGAGACGATGGTGTTGATTAACTACAACGCATCCAGTGGAACCGGCAGCCAGTCTTTGTTGCGCAGGACCGGGCTAATGTGGCCGGAAAATGAGAATGCGTTTATGCGGGCTGACGGTGAAGAGCGCCTGGATGTGTGCATTCCGCTGGTGCGCTTCCGTAGCACGGAAACGGCAGCAGTACAGCGTCGACGCTTTCTTGTCGCGGCCAACGACAGCTGCCCGGGCGTGACGCAGCAGGTGCGGGAAAAGGTCACATTGGTATATGCGCGCTGGGTTTGCACGTTGGCCTATCCCGAGCAGTGGGCAGGGATTCGCCACTTCTTCCAGCTGTGAGTATTGCAGCCGTATTGACACATAACCGGTTTTAGTAGAATGCGGTATGAGTGTTTTTGTCAAATAGGTTCAACGGCGTCCATCCCGACGGCAGTCCGAAGTGCTGGGACCACATTGACTTGCGGCAGCTGGATTTGTCATGCTTGAACAAGCTAACATTAGCCGCGCTCAATGTTTACTATAATGACTAATTTGTTTTGGAACCAACTGAATTCCCAGTTTGTTCGTTCTGTTTCGTGTTTCACAGTGGATTTAGTAACTAAGAACCGAAAATTTTCAAGACCTTGAGCGCTCTCGATGTGAATTTTCTTGGCAAATAAATTGGCAAGACATTTGTTTACACTATTCTGTAAGATGTACATACACGATACAAAGTACTAACATCAGATTGTGGGTTAAAAGCAAATTGTGCCCTATGCAATTGTGTCTGCAATACTACTCGTATATGTTTTTTTTTTTAAATACAAGTACCCCAGTTTCATAGTTTCGCCTGCATCGGCATTTATATTTTTCGATTAACATTTGGTTTATTCCATGCATGGTGGTTTATTTCATTAACAGTCTACAAGAAGGCCGATGGCATTTACTTACTAGTACTATCATTTGCAGAATAGATCTATTTCATGACAAACGCTCTGTCCGGATGCTGTCACAAGCATCTGTACTCATGTTACAGAATCGAAACACATCCACTTTTTCTCATCCAGTGCTGCATGTCACGATTAAGTACGGAGTACACTGAAATCCTTCAGGGTCACAGAGCCCATACCTATCCAACTTAATCCATAAACAGAAACACAAGGTGGAAATTAGACAATTTCGCTTTAAACAAACATTATCGAAACTATTAAATTATCGAAACTCAGTTGCAAATCACCACTTGCTTGTACAAGACGACGTAAGAGTGTTTAGGACAATCAAACAAGACAAACCATTCGCCAATGTGTAATGCAACTTTGGCAACGAAAAACTAGCAAAAAGGCCACATCCAGTATTATTGGATACTTTCGCCGAAAGCCTGCAGAAAGAGGCTTATTTTTGCCGCCGCCTGCTCACACACCGCATAGCCCCTTTCACTCTCCTTTGACTCCCTCCCGTATAACACCGTCAAGATATCCCTGCCCTCCTCACAATGATCCATCACCACAGAGCACACTTGAGCGGCTAGTGTTTCCAGCGCTGTTCTCGATGTTTTCGCTAGCTGATCCATCCCATTCAGTCCGCGCTGATGCAGCGCGTCAACAGCTGACATCCCCGCTGACATCAGGAGAAGAGCACGAAAAGCCGCATATTTGGGGTATATTTTCCTAAAGACAGGTAGGCATAATTCACTGCTTGGTGACTGTCATAAATTTTTAATATCCCGTAACTGCCAGCAAATTACCTGGCACAGACAATCATTTCTTGCATCATCTGCCAGCCCTCGTCAAAGCGATTCCCCTCGAAATAAATATCCGGTAATTCCCAGCCGCAGACAAAGCGGATATGCGCGTCCGGCTGCAGGATTCCGACAGCGTCCAGTTTTTCGCAAAGGGTCATAAGCAAACTTCTTCGGGCAGCGCATAATGGCCTCGTGCTGCTGCATGAAACGGTGGAACAGCATCATTCGGTCACTGTTGATAGCGCCGCATTGCGAGCAGGCTTCATGTGCACGGCTGTCGCTGGGCATTCGATCGTGCATCCAACCGTTACACAACGTAATGGATTTATCTCGGCATCCTACGAGCGGGAATAGCGTCAAGCACAAAAAACATCGGGAATAGCGTCAAGCGCAAAACAATAAGGCTGTTGAACTCTCGTACATATTCTTCCGTGCATCGGCGGCAAGTGCACGGAAAGTGGTAACGCTTCTCAAATCCAACGCGACGTTCCGCTAGTGTGAAACTGAATGGTTCTCGCATGTCGTTAATGCCAACCATGCCAGTGCCTTGATAGTGAGATTTTCAAACCCAAAGATTAGACTTGCCCATCTGGGCGTTGTCGTGGGATCTCCAGGAGCTCCACCCGGTCGCAGTCAGAATCAGCAAGATATAGCGAGCCGGTAGCTGTTAACGTGGAAGTTATTCTGACGGCTTTACTCTGCGCTGAATATGAAATAACCTTGCCTGTTAATTTAGTTGTAAATTTGGAAACATTCAAACAGTTTTCGCTTTTGTTGCAAATTCCATCGGACTATATTTGTCCCCATGTTCTCTGCTGCTTTTTTGTTTGTACGAGTATACAATGTAGCGCTAAGTTTCCTTGTTGCAGTAAAAATTCCGTTCAAATGATTATTATCACTTCATTCTTACCATGAGCAGAATGCGAATTACTTCGAAAAGCAAAAGGTAAACGAAATGATATTAGCATGCATAGAACTGCCACACGACACTGGATAATTACGCGTACACCCTCAACAGAACAACCCGGAAAGATGGACTTTATAAATTATTGGCGATGCTGTCGCCACACAAAAAACGGATTCTGCCGCCAGTAAGGCTCGGCTGGAAATCTGCAGGAAATGCCCAGAAACAGCAAGGCACAACAGCGAATCGTAAGTTAAGGTGAGCGAACAGAATCCCTCCCTGACAGAATGTGAATAAATTCCTCCGACAAATAAATGAATCCAACAAACGCATTAAAAATTTATTTTCAGTTGGTTAGCCAGCCAAGTCCAAAAACGTTACAAAAGCAGATACGAACAGAACAGTTGAATCTGACAGAAAGGCAAAATCAAGTACCAGCAATCACTTTTTGCGGTGAAAAGCCAGCTCAATGGGGTGCAATTTCACTATCGCATCTTCAAACACGGCACTGGCTTTTTGAGCCTCCTTGGACTCCTGTCCATACACCTTAACTAAGATATTCTTGGCTTCCTTACAATATTCGATGGCATGATGGCACACTTGTCCGACTAATGCATCCAGCGCTCTTTTAGCCGGTTTCGAAAGCCGCTTTCGCTCATTCGATAGTCGCTGGGACAATGCTGCAACGCTCGACCTTCCCGCTGACATCAGGAACCTGGCACGATAAGCCGAATACTCTGGATGGATTTTTCTAAGGGCAGATAAAAAATTTTTGCGGTTGTTGTACTTAAATGCAGCAGCAGAAGTCGCAAACCTTACCGCACAATGTCAATCAACTCCTGCGTCGCCCGCCAGCCGTCTTCAAAGCGGTTTTCATCGAAGTATTTCCTTGATAACTGCAAGCCGCAGATATAACGGAAATGCGCATCCGGCTGCAGGATGCCGGTTGCGTCCACTTCTTCGCAGAGATCGGTAAATTTCTTTCCGTGGAAGGTCATCGTATAGTGCTCCCTAATAAAGGTAAAATCCTCGAGGAACCGACGGAAGTGCATCAGCCGGTCGCTGTTGATGGCGCCGCATTCCGAGCAGGGTCCATGTGCACGGCTGTCGCTGGGAATGCGACTGGTGCATCCGACCGTTACGCAGCGCAACGAATTAATTTCACCATCCTAAGAACAACCGTGCCAACGGTCACTTAACAAAACTCGTTTCTCCAGCTAACTACAATATTTGCATGCTCGACAAAAATTGCATGTAGACTATTTTATCGCACACTGCGGCCAAAAAAAATTTTGGGAAGTACCGTACATATTCTTCCGTGCATCGGTGACACGTACAAGGACACCCGTAACGCTCCTCAAATCGAACGCGACGGGCCTCTCGTGTCAGGCAAAATGGCTCCCGTGTGTCGGTGTATCGTAGCTGCAAGGATAACAAATTTATTTATGTATTGGAATGGTTATGGTCACCACTGGAATATCTGTTAGTTTCCTAGCCAGCTAACATTCCCGTTCAGACTGCGTTCAGACTGTTCGCAAACTTAACTATGAGCATCATCACTCGCACGAGCAACCGATTCATACAGTACTACCACCCCAAATCACCGTTTCTAGTTCGCTTCATTCCATTCAAGGATTTATACAAAAAGCGGTAAGTGGGAAAATGTACAACTGACGTGTTTCGCCCCGAACATCTTCCTTTCCGAATCGACCGGATGCTCTAGCCCTTTAAACATGCGTATTTCGTTCTACCTGTCGCACTGTACGATATCCTCGGATGCCACAAGAGGCTGTGCAAAACATTACTCGGAGGTTGTAAACTTGTACAGAAAATGGAGAGCTCACTTGTTACTGACCTAAACTTCCGGACGACTACAACTTCCTTCAAAGGTTTTTTACCTTGAACTGAGCAGAAGTCCGGCGACAAAAACTTTAAAGTCCCTTTAAAGTGCGACTGAGTCCATTAACGATTCTTATACAGACAGTTTTCTATCTTTTGGTACTGCTCTCAGGAAGTTACCCCAGCCAATAGTCCCTGATTTTAACGGCGATGTCATATTTTTGAGCTGTCATTACTGTTTTCGGCTATGTCTCGTAGCGCGAGGACGTTAGACCATAAAACAATCTACACCTATGGCACGGTTAGTACACGTTAAATTTTTTCGGGCATGTGTTGTCACGTGTATCCACGGTATCCCACCGTATTCCACAGTATCCTCTAGCGTACGTATCCTTTATGTATCCTCCCAATTATCTACTTTTTTTAATCATTGCAGTATCCCACCGAATCTCGGCAGATCTACTCGGCATTTCAAATGTATTCCAGGAGGCCTGAAAATATTATCCGGTTACTCGACGTATACAGTAAGGATACGTTAAGATACGTTGGGATACTGCGATTGCTTATGACCCTCAAAAGTCAACCCTGCATTCAGCAAGACACATGAAGGATACGTAAAAGATACTGTGGGATACTGTGGTTTTCGAAGGCGATACGCATTCAAACATCACTACATATTTACGTATTGCATATATAAATATTGTTAATGTGGTCATCTTTTTAGCTAGCGTATCCCACAGTATCCATTGTGTATCTTCCATGTATCCTTTGTGTATCCCGTTAATTTCTTAGTTTTTTCTATGTTTTCTTAGGTTTTTTAGGCCTTTTAGCGGGTTTCGTTTGGGATACGTAAACGATACTGCAGAGATACGGTGGGATACGGCAACAAGGAAAAACAAGTCAAAAACTGTAAGGATACATTAGGCATATGTAGAGGATACCGTTGGATACGGCGGGATACTGTGGATACAAGCAAAAACACATGCCTCGGAAAATTTAACGTGTACGAAGTCGTCCATATCTAATTGTTTTAATAACGCAAGGTCAGTTGTATACAATCCCCGCTCAAACGCTCTATGCTTCATACCTCATAGTTAAGCGCGCTTCCTGACCTAATTGGGTTCCGGTTCGGACACTTTAGCCTTACATTTTCAGTTCCGGTATATTCGGGAATGACTTCGACGGCATGCATGACCAGCCGACGTCCGCGGTAGTGCAGCACCACGTTAATGTCCCAGCAAACCGGAGCCATCCGTCGCGGCGGTGCTGGCGGATACACGGCGAAGCCGATCGGCATGCCTTGTGAGCCATAAATGGTCAAAATGTTGTAGCGCACAATTTCGTAGAAGGGAAGAAATTCCGCTGCTGGTAAGCCGGCTACCACGGAATATTTGGACTTCATAGCGCGCAACCTGTAACACGACCATTACTGAACTGTTGTGTAATCATTTCATACAGTTAAAAAGCATATCTGTACACCGAGTGCATCTCTTGTTCGACGTCCAGGTGCGCAGGATTCGCCGGCAGCATGAGTAGAAGATCTTTGACAGACTTTTGACCCATTCCCGGGATGTCCATCATCGCGTTTAACTGGAAGAAGATCGAAACCAGTTACAACGAGCAAATGTTAAAAGAATACCCAGCTCACATACAGTCGTTTGATTACTGTGAGCGAGTGAGGTATGCAGATTTCGTAATATTTTAACGTAATTTAACACGTTCAAGCCTTGACTAGCACGTACCACAAGTTGCGGTATCTGGCCAGGAAAGCGCCTAAATCCGTACGAATATGTACATAATACGACAGTATTTAATATAAAAGGAATCTGCTAGGCATTAAAAAAAACTGATAAAACAGAATTATTATAACGCCATGCTCATGACTTTGTACTCGTAGATTTAACCCCAGCAGACAGTATCAGAAAAAAATATTTGACCGTGCATATAATATTAGCAGTTACTATGCTCAAAAGTAAAGTAACAATCATTCAAACAGCACCGAGGCACTCCAAGCTGATACTAAATTCTTACCCTAATTTTATTGGCCAACTTGGCGGTGATCTCGGGAGGGACGGACCAGCTGTCCTCTTCATCCGGAGACCTGCTTTCCGACCCCTTCCTGATTTTCTTCATGATGGCGCATTCCAGCTTGTGTTCCACTTTCCAATCAGCGGCCTGTGTTAAGCCCACCCCACAATATAACGACAACTGTCATAAACGGCGCTTTCTCAAGGCGGGGAGAGGGGGGTAGCAGCTATCCCAGCAATGGGCCAGCATGAATAATTAAATTTTTTTATGTTAAGTGCAGTAATGCTGCGTTATGCTGTAGAAGTACCCGCAGCGTTTACTCGTATGAATCGTATGATTACTCGTATGAATAATTACTCGTAATTAATGGCAGGATTACTCGTATGAATAATCAATAACTGAAGCAAAGCCCCCTGGCATGTCGCCACTTTTTTGTTATGGGCAAGAGTGTTCATGAATTCCTTCAGATTTCAGGCATGAAAACTACTCAGCAGTCAGTGTACCTGGCAGGCCGAATTACAGTAGCGATGCAATTGACATCCAGAACAGGTGCGCAGTTCCTGGCTTTCCTGGAAGCAATAAGCACAGCGCTTCTTATAGCCTGTACTATACATCAGCCACACCAGCGGATCGCACGACATGATCTGGTCGCCACTAGAATAACTGCGGCTGCTATCGCTAAGTGAGGTCTCCATTTCCAGTTTGGTGGTTAGCCCTTGAGAATAACTGGAAAAAAGCTTAGGCGAAAAAATCAGAAAAAAAAACAGAAACCAAGATTGGTAAGTGAAAATACGTATAGTATTTGAATTTTTATTCAAGGGTGAAACTGGAAACTGAATTCTTCGTTACGAATTTTTCTCATTTACTGTAAGTAATACAAGAAAACCCCTTGGGTACGTTACCCATTGGGTACAGACGTTTAGTCAACCAGCTGGAGGCCATCTCGCCTTCGCCCCCCTAAATGTTTCCAAAGAATTTTCTAATTCTGTTAATCTGGCGCAGCAGTGGCGCTTGCCCTGTGCGATATGCCGGATGCAGTGTTCCAGCTTCCAGTGTAGCTATGCTGGATTGATGGAAAGCGTACTACTGCGTACTGAAGTACTACGGACTACCAACCCTTGTGTCATCTGGTTAATGAAAGCTGTTCTTTTGATTTATGGAAACTACTGTGGTAAGTTAAGAACTGTTTCTATCGTAGCTGTTTTGGGTGGTTATTATTCGTTTACTTCGTTTTACGTAATTGAGAAGTTTTCCTTAAACATTTAATGAATGGCTGAGTGACTGCTTCCGAATAAAATAATGTGAGTGAACAAATTACACTACCGCCATGCACTTTTGGCTACGACACTGAAGTGACCAAGCCACTCATGGCCATGCCTGACAAAAAGACAAAACACTGGCATCTCTACCGTTCTACCGTATCGGTGGCTGAAATGAATTCAACGATTTTTCACGATCAACGCTTCACAAAATCCAAAATCTCCAAGAATGCTTTGTAAACGTAAATAAGCGACTAACCAGGGCACATAGGGGTCCTCCAAATTCAGAAAATTTCATATTTTGTAAAATGGTACTGTATACTATCGTAGTATGCTTAAAAAAATATTTTCATCTGCCATGGTCAAGGGGGCGTGGCCAGAAAGCATTTAAAAGTTTGCATATTATCACATACAAGCAGGACGCGCGGCGCTTACGCGCCGCGCTGAAGTAACTTACGGTTTTAAACGGCTTAAAAATGTGGGTACCGCACGCGTGGTCTTCGGTGACCAAAGACCTAAAAGGTCATCAGTGACAAAAGGCTTAAAATCCCTCGGTGGCCAAAGGCTAAATAAGACGGCTACCGCATGCGTGGGCTTCGGTGACTAAAGGCTTAATTAAATTAAAGAACCCTCGGTAACCGAACGCTTAAAATACTTCAGTTACCAAAAGCTTAAAAGGCACTGGGTGACCAAAGATTCACAAGACCCTCGGAAAAGGCCTTCAGTGACCTAAGGCTTAAAAGGCCTTCAGTGACCAAAGGCTTAAATAGCCACCGTGACCAAAGGCTTAGAAGGCCTTCGGTTACCAAAGACTTAAGATGCCTCGGGTGATCAACGGCTAGATACGGTTACCGCATGCGTGGCCTTCGGTGACCAAAGGCTTCAGTAATCAAAGCCTAAAAGCCCAAAGGCTGCCCGAACGCGTGACATTCGGTAACCACAGGCTTAAAAGACCCTCGGTAACCAAAAGCATGAAAGGCCTTCGGTGACCAAAGGCTTATTAAGAAGGTACCGGACGCGTTGCGTTTGGTGGCCAAAGGCTTAAAAAGCCTTCTGTCACCAATGGCAAATTAACGCGGGTACCGCACGCGTGGCCTTCGGTAACCGAAGGCTTGAAATGCCTTCGGTAACCAAAGACAAATTAAGGCGGGTACCGCACGCGAGGCATTCGGTGACCAAAGGCTTAAAAGATACTCGGTTAACAAAGGCCTAAAAGGCCTACGCTGACCGCAGGCCTAAAAGGCTTCTGGTGACCAAAGGCTTTAAAAACCTTCGGGGACCAAAATCTTAAAAGCCCTTCGATGACCAAAGGCCTGAAAGGCCTTCGGTGACCGTAGGCTTAAAAAGACTTCAGTTCATAAAAGCCCAGAAGGCCGTCGGTGACTAATTGCCTTCGGTGGACAAAGGCCTGAAGGGCCTTTGGTGTTAAAAGGCTTAAAAGAATTCGGTTACCGAAGGCTCAAAAGGGCGGATAGTACTGGATACCGCATGCGTGGCCTTAGGCGACCGAAGGCCTAAAAGGCCATTAGTGATCAAAGGCTTAAAAGGTTTTCGGTTACTAAAAGCTAAGGCCTTCAGTGACCAAAGGCTTAGAAAAGTGGGTACCGCCTTCGGTTGTTAAGGGCTTGAAACGGTGGATATCGCACGCGTAGCCTTCGGTGACCAGAAGCTTATAAAACCTTCGGTGACAAAAGGCTTAAAAGGCTTTCTGCGACAAAAAGCTACAAAGACCTTCGGTTACCAAAGGCTTAAAAGGGCGGATGGGACCGCACGCAAAGCTACTGGCTGCGCTATGGTGCGGGAAGGATTCGTTAGGCTTTTCAGAGCTTCATAGGTTCACGAAGCTTTTCGAAGCATAGTTTTACTAAAATTTATAATGCTTAGTAGGTTTATTGAGTTGTCCAAAGTTGAGCTTACACAGGTTTCCAAAGCATGGTTTTAATAAACTTTTGAAAGCTGAGTAGTGGGTTTGGACACGGCATTTCTGGATGCTTCAGGACAAACTGGTAGTACAGTTTGATCTGGTAAAGTCTGATGTGGTACAGCTGACTTGGAAAATCTGGTGGTTCTGGGAGATCTGGTAGCTTTGGCTGATCTGGTGGTTCTGATAGTTCTGGCTGATCTGGCAGTTCTGGTTTTTCTAGCAGTTCTGGCTGATTTATTGAGCTGTCCAAAGTATAATTTACAAACCTTTCCAGAGAACTAACTAACATTTAAAATGTTAGTAAGTTTGGAACGGCACTTCTGGATGGTTCTGAATGAACTGGTAGTACAGTCTGATCTCAAGGGGCGGGTGATTCTGTTTGATTTTAAATTGAGGCTGATCCAGCAGATTTGGTATTTTTGGCTGATCTGGTAGACCTGGTTCTTCCAGTTCATCATGTAGGTCTGGCTGACCTGCTAGTTTTGGTTCATCTGGCTTATTCGGTAGTTCTGTGTGATCTGGAGGATCTGATGGTTCTGGCAGATCTGGTAGTTCTGGCTAATCAAGTAAAAGTTCGTACAGACACTAAGGTTTCGAAACCTTAGTAAGCCTTAGGCTGAAGGTAGGATCCAGCAGATCTGGTTAATCGGGTAAAAATTCGTACAGGTACTGAGGTTTCGAAAGCTAAGTAAAGGCTTCTGCCTGACAGCAACGAACGCAAAAAGGCTGTACAGGCCTAAAAGCTGTACGACCGGTTCAGGCCAATCAGAAGGTAAGGCTGGTTCTGGCCAATCCGAATGGTTTGGAGGCGGGATCGGTTTGGAGGCATCATCGGTCGAATGGTTTAGAGGCGGGATCAAGCAGACGCGCGACGCTACGCGCCGCGCTGACACGGCTACGGTTTTAAGCAGCCCAAAAGTGTGGGTACCACACGCGTGGCCTTCAGTGACCAAATGCTTAAAAGGCCTTCGGTGGCCAAAAGCTTAAAAGGTTATCGGTGACCAAAGGTTTAAAAGGCCTTCGGTGGCCAAAGGCTTAACCAAGCAGGTACCGCACGCGGGGCATTCCGTGATCAAAGGCCTAAAAGGCCTTCGGTGACCAAAGGCCTAATAAGGCGGGTACCGAACGCGTGGCATTCGGTGACCAAAGGCCTAAAAAGCTTTCGGTGACCAAAGGCCTGAAAGGCATTCGGTGACCAAAGGCTTAATAAGGCGGGTACCGCACGCGTGGCTTTCGGTGACCAAAGGCTAAAAGGCGGGTACCGCACGCGTGCCATTCGGTGACCAAAGGCTTAAAAGGCCTTCGGTGACCATAGGCTTAATAAGGCGGGTACCGCACGCGTGGCCATCGGTGACCAAAGACTTAGAAGAAAGGGTACCGGGTGGTTCTGGTAGCTCTGCTAAGGTTCTGGTTGTACTGGCCAACCTGGCAGATTTGGTAGGACTGGCAAACCTAGTAGTCTAGGCTGATCAGTTAGTTCAGGCTGACTCTGGTAGATTCGAAAGTTCTGGCAGATCTGATGGTTGCTGCTAATCTGACAGATTCGTTTGTTCCGGCTGATCTGGTAGTTTTGGCTGAACTGGAAGTTCAGGCTGATCTGGCAAATTTGGTAGTTCTGGTGGATCTAATTGAATTGGCTAAATAAAAAAAAACTTTGCTACGGTACTAAGGTTTTGAAAACTTAGTCAGGACGAAAGCTGGAGGAGGCATCTGGTTGATCGGTCCTATCTGGATAGCCAGGCAAAGTTAGTACAGATACTAAGATTTCGAAAGCTTAGTAAGGCAAACGCGTAAATGCCCATGTTTAGAAGGCCGTAAAAGCTTAAAAGCCGTACAGTAAGATCTGGCCAATCAGAAAGGTGAGGCTAGTTCTGGCCAATCAGATTTGGAGGCGGGATCGGTCTCGCACAGAGAATCCTGCTTTAATAAACTGGACTATGCAATGCAGTGAGTGGAGTTATTCGTAATTAGTTTTATATTGAATTTTTACTGTAGCACCGCGAACTTTTGCAGCTGTCCAGTGGTGATGTAAACGAAGACCATGTGCGGCGGCTCGTGTCACTGCTTCCTAAATACATATTTTTGAAAATTTGTTATGAAGTGCAGTAGTACATATCTGCCAATTAGTAAAAGAAGTTTTTTGCACGGTTTACTACATACAATACTAACTGATAAAAAATTTTCGAAAATGTGTACTCAGGCAGCAATGACATGAGCCGCCGCACGTGGGCATGGTTTACATCACAACTGGACAGCTGCAAAAGTTCACGGTGCTACAGTAAAAATTCAATATAAAACTAATTACGAATAACTCCGCTCACTGCATTGCATAGCATGAGATAATACGCAAACTTTTAAATGCTGTCTGACTACGCCCCCTTGACCATGGCAGATGAAAATATTTTTTTAAGCATACTACGATAGTATACAACCATTTTACAAAACATGAAATTTTTCTGAATTTGGAGGACCGCTATATGGAGAGCCGACCACGCCAGTTCGGCTTGACATCGGTTCGAAATTTCGTTCAGTGCGATCAAAATTTTTTTCCGTTTCTTGAGGCATCGAGTTGGGACTTCGAAAATTTTCAACCTTTCCAGTCTTCCAATACCACATACCAGTAAAACTAC